TGAGTTTACTAAGAAGGAAAAAGACAAAAATGAATAATTAATCAAAACTGACATTAATTTTGAAAAATGCTATAAATCACCACTTTCTATCTTTAATCCACTATCTTTAAGAATTCTATCTAAGGGAATGTAATATCAGGTATTATCATTGGCATCGTGATTATGAACTTCTACTACTTGCCCAACTGGACTAGCAATCATTTGGGTAGAACCAGGAACTTGTAGAGGAATATAGACAGGAGCACCTAAATCACCCGAATAATAGCCCTTATTCATTTTCACTTTAACTACATCATGAAGTTCAGCACTTTCTTTTCCACATGAGCCTGGTCTATTTACTGTTATGGTAACACCAGTTTCTAAAATTTCACCACTTACCATCCCCCTAGCTCCTCCATGAGCATAAACTTTATCTCCTACCGAGAGGGGTTGGCTAGGAGTAGGAATTATTGGTAAAAGTTCATCTATATCAACAATACCTCGTCCACTTTTAACACAGTGAGAATAGATGACTTGGTTGCTATTATCATCTGACAAAATATCATCCTCTCACCAATAATCAGAATATATTCTTACAAAAGCATAATCTAAACCTTGCTCCGAATCAAACTTAAAAGGTCGCATTGCTACTCCAACGACAGTATCTCCCACCAGAATATTAGTATTGACACAGTTAGCCGAGGTTAAAAAACCTTTAAGGACTTTCTTACTAAAACGTTCTTCAGAAACCGGAAAAGAAAGGGTGCAAGGTCTTTGACAAGTTTGAGGCAGGCTATATGTAATTCCATCAACTTTCATCCCACTATGAAGAATTAGTCTACTATCACGTTCAACTATTTGGGAAACATTTTGAGCCATTTGTAGTTCAGTTTCTGATAGTGGCTGGGAAAAATTATTGACTGAGGAAGTAAGAGAAGGAACTAGATTAAAGATTAAAAAGATAAATTTAAGTGAATTATTCATAAAGTATTTAAAAAGGTTATTTTTTAGCCGGGATTTCCATTTGGGCGAGTAAATTGTCGTATTGTTGAGCGTTGGTTTCGTTATAAGTTAGTAAAGCACCAGAGCAACCAGAAATAGCATTTGTTTGACTCAAAGCCGTCTCAATAGGAAAATAATAAAAAGATTGATGTTGAGGATCAGCATTTTCAATTAAACTAACATGACCCAGGGCTTGGGCTAAGGTGCGTTCACTAATTTTAGTTTCAGTATAAACAGGTGCTCCAAGGTCTTCTTTCAGTAAACCATTAGTTCCTAAATCTACTTTATTAAGATTTTTCATTTCCAACTTGTCCCCTCAATCTTTTCTTGGATTAGGTATAGCTAAGCTTAAATCCACGTCGGTAAGAGTTCCGCACCGATAACCACTAGCGGCTCCGTAAACACATACTGATAATCCAGGACCAGTTGGATTAGCTGAAGAAGTAACTGGGAGTAAATCTACCGTACCTTCATCAGTAACCTTTGGAACAAAAGGCATGTGTTTCAAATTAACTGGTTCTCTTGCAACATTAGAATTATAATCAGTTATTCTAAAACAATCTCCGCCATTATAAAGATCACATCAAGAATATAAATAACCTAAAGTTACTGAATTATCCCAGTCAGTGAATGACAACTGCATATCATATGATTTTATATCTTGTTCATCATCTGAGAAACCACAAAATCTTGAAGTTAGAAAACCAAAGTTATAATCAACACATCCAACAGTTTTAACAATCGAAAAACCACCTGTGCATTTTTTTGAAGGCAAAAGTGACCCATCTTTCCTCTTAAAAGTAAACAATACAGAAGCACCAGCGACATATACATTTTGCTCTGAATCGCCTTCTTGAGCCATTTTGGTGTGAGTGAAATTAGTTACCAATTGGGGTAGAGCTAGGTGGTTGGTTCCACTATTAATCAATACTTCGGTTTGGTTGTCGGCTGATTGTTGTCCTGTTCCCGAACCCACTAGACTTAGTAAAAATATAGATTTAATTTTCTCATTATTTAATTTCATTTTCATATTATTTAATTACTTTATTTTGATATTTATACAGAAATTTTTATCTATATATTATATTTTACACATTCTCTAACGCATGTGCTTTTAGAAAAAATAGTTTAACCATGTTTTTGCGATAGTTATTTACTTTTTTTTTTGTTTTTTAATTAGTTGTTTTTCCAACTCTTTGATTTTTTTGTCTTTAAGAGCATTTTCTGCCACCGCTTTTAATAGGGTTTGGAGTCAATTTTCTAATTGGTCGCCGATTTTGTCTTCATCATCTAGATCAACTCCTTTTTTTTTTAATAGTTCACTAAGACTTCTAACTTTTATTTGTTTTTGTTGAGTTTTGGTTAGTAGGGCGGTCTTACTACCACCAAAGTAAGCTCGGAAGGTCCTTCTTTTTTTGCTGTCGGTAATGGAGTCTAAATAGACTAGTTTGTGGTGGCGATAGAGGTCAATTAAGCAAGTGTCACACCGGTATTGGCCTTGGTTTTTCTTTTGGTCGGTTCAATAGCCTCAGTTGTTTTTGTTGCTGTATTTTTGGCTCGGGGGGCAGAAGTTAACGATGAGTTTTTTTTGGCATTGGGAGCAGTTGACTTTTAAAGGGGGTTTTAAGGTGTACATGTGAGTAGATAATAATTAATTTTTGATAGAAAAAGTGCTGAATAATGGGGATTATGATGGAGGATTAGCCGAGGAGCATGAGGAATTTACGAGGGAAATTTACCAACTAATTAAAAATTCAGAGGAATATTCAGAATGAGAAAGTAAGTGAAACGAAGTTCGGTGCTAACAAAGAAAATTGAATTAAAATAATTAATAGGAAAGAATATGAAAATCAACCAAGAAAAACAAAATCACTCCAAAGAACTTTCCCAAAAGGAGGAATATCAAAAATATTTAGAGGAATTGGAAGACCCTAATTATCAGGGTGGTTCTTGGGCTTTACCCGAAAACCCTACTCCACTGGAACAGGCCAAATATGATATTTGTCAAAAAGTAATCAGATATAAGCGAAATAATAAGTTAACTACTGAGGAATTTGCTAAAAAAATCCAACTAACTAAACCAGAAACCGAGGATATTCTTTATTGTCGCTTAGACTACTTTACTTTGGATCGACTAATGGAATACACCAATAAGTTATTTTCTCCTTGTGAAGTAAAAATAACCATTAAAGAAGTTGATAAAAAAATACATGCCCGAGTTGTTTAGTTTAATTGCGGAAAAAGAAGTTGATAATGAATGACGCTGAACTTACTCGATCAACTTTAACTTTACTTTTAACGAACTGAAAATTGACTACTTAACCATTACTGACTACGCTTGGAAAGATAAGAAAGGAAGAGAAGGAATTACCAAAGAGTTAATTTTAAATATTTTTAAGGAAAAATTAAACGGCAAAGACACTGAACCAGAACCCAAGAAAAAACCAACTTGAAAAAGAAACCATTATGTTTTAAAAAGAATTTCATTTGGAGACAAAAAATATAAATTAGTGTTTTGGTTTAAGGATGGAACTGATAACCATTTATAAGTAAAAAATTGTCATCAGCAGGATTAAGCACAAACGAAGATGTGCCAAATAAAGAAAAAGAGGGAGGGGAAATTACTCCCCTCCTTCCGGACACTCTAAATGTCCCACCGCTTTTAATCAGAAATTTAGTCCGTAAGTGGTTAGGTGGCGTCCTAACCGCTCGGAAAAATATTCCTCTTTTTCGAGGTCATTCGCATAATCACTCACATAAAGGCGATAATTGCCTTTTAGAATATCCTGCTCTGTAAGATATTGTTGACAAGAACCACAGCAAAATTCTTTTAAATAATCAGTTTTGGCAAAAGTGCCAGAGAATTTTAATTCGATACTTGCCATGATTATTTAGTAATTTCTGTGATTTGGTTGTCAGCTACGGAGTAGTTAATTTGGCAATTATCGCACTCTTTATTAAGCACTTGCTTTTGGTTTTTCAACAACTCAATCTGGCTTTCAACTTTGGTTTTTTTGTTTTTACTTATGCTAAGGAGGGTTGCTCCATTATTATTTATGAAATTATTTTTCATAACGAAATGTCAACCTCGTAGAGTGCTATTTCCCAAATTGTCCCCTGGGGAATTAAAAAAAACCCTTTTTTTTATTTTGGAACTTGTTCTAAAAAGCAGGGTTTAAGTCAAAATGAGTTATTAAAAATAAAAACCTTCTAATAAATGATAATGGCAGAGTAATCCCTCCGTAAAAACAATAAAAAACCTAATAAAAAAGCCGTTAAAGTTGAAAAAAGCAAAGATTTTAAATAATTGTTGGAAACTTACAAAAAAAGATCTGAAATTGGAGAAGTAAGATTAGCACTAAAAATAGCCGAAGCAAGCCAAAAAAAGAATTGTTAACGATTAGAACAGTAAAAAAATAAAGAAATTTGTATAAAGTCTGAAAATGGGAAAATTAATTGGGGAAGTAGTGATAAAAACTGCTTGGGCGATAGTAAATAAAGTGGTGCCTAGTAAAAAACTACTAGGTAGAAATATACCGCTATATTGCTATATCAGAAACTAAAAAGTTTAAAAAATATAATATTATGACTAAACTAATAATAATTAAAACTGAAAATAGTGAAAAAGTGTGCAATTTCCTAAACAAAGAACAAATAAACTATCAAGTTTTTTCCGAACAAGACCAGGAGTTTTCCCAAGACGATAAATTACTCCAAGAATACCAAGAGGCTTGAAAAGACCCACAAAGAATAACCGAAGCGAAGCAATGAGAACAAGCGGCGATGACTGATTGAGCGGAAAGAGCCAAAAAAGGTAAAAAATAAATGGCTGAAAGAATATTTAAAAGAGGAGAAATTTATTGAGTTAATTTGCCCGATAAAGGCGGACATGAATTAAAAGATCCGCATATGGGAGTAATAATTTCTAATAACCGCCAAAATCAGGCTAGTCCAGTAATAATTATTCTCCCTTTAACTTCTTTAAAAGATGGAGACAAGGTTTATTCTTTTGAGGTAGAAACTTTTATTAATAATCAGTCAGGTAAAATCTTGATCGACCAAATTACCACGACCGATAAAGTAAAAAGAGTGGGTAAATTTGTTGGTCGATTGGATGAAAAATTAATGGTGAAAGTTGAAAGGGCAATTTGTTATGTGCTGGCTTTATCTACCGAAGCATTAATGGAAGAACTGGAAGCCAGAAAGAAAAATAAATGGTAAGTATTTTATCTGTAAAGATTAAAAAAATAATTGGTTAGTATGACAATCATCGCATTTATTAGTCAAAAAGGAGGGGTAGGAAAATCCACTTTAAGCCAAGCCCTAGCGGTAGAAGCCAAAAAACAAAAATTAAGCGTTTTATTAGCCGACTGTGATAGCCAACAGACTACCAGCCAAGAATGAAGCAAAATTAAAGGGAAAATTACTTGCCAAGTATTCAACTCCGTAAAAGAAATTTGACCTTTAAGTAAGAAATACGACTTAATAATTATTGATGGTCCTGCTCGCACTAGCACGGGAACCCTAGAAATAGCCAAAAAGGCTGATTTATTAATTCAACCAACGGGAGCCAGTAGAGCAGACTTAATTCCCGCCATCAAAGAATTTCACGCTTTAAAAAAGGCGGGAATAAATAAGAAAAAACTTTTATTTGTCCTTACCAGACTAGCCACGCCAGCGGAAGCGGAAGCAGGAAAGGAATATTTACAAAAAAGCGGTTATAATTATTCGCCAATTGTTCTGTATGAAAAAGCCTCTTATCGTCAAGTTCAAAATGAGGGAAAGTCAGTCAGCGAAGTAAACTATAAAAGTCTACGCAAGCAAGCCAAAGACTTAGTTAACAATATTCTCAAATACTTATAATATAGAAATATACCGCTATATAGGTAGCGTTAAATATGAATAAAGAAAACTAGTATTTACAAAATTAATTATATAGCAATATAGCGGTATATAAATAGCGATATAAAAATATATATTATGGTTAATGACTGAAATAAAATTAAGAAAAAAAGTTTAGGGGAAATTCCCCAAGAGGCTAGTGAGAATATTCAGGCCCCTGAATTGGCTCCCAGTGATGGCAGAATTACCGGCCGCACTAAACAATTAAATCTGAAAGTAAAAGAGAAAACTTATTGATTATTAAAAGAAATGGCTTTAAAAGAAAAAAAATTAATGACCGAGATATTGGAAAAATCGTTAGAGAATTATAGTAAAAATAGAAAGTAAATAAAAACTACCGTGGAAAAACTACTTTTTTGTGTAAAGTGCCAATCTCTCATGAATAAAATTGAACCTTTGGCTGAGGATATGTTAGCGACTCAAAAAACCCTGGTTAATCAACCTCAACTCTTTCAAAAGAAGGATAAAATGGTGGTTTTTAATCAGTGAGAATGTGAGTGTGGGAGGAAGATTATTACCATAGAGTAGTTTTTATTTTAAGAAATTAATTTTCCTTCAATCACTTTTCTAACTTGGCTTTTTCTTTTTGATAGTCTTTTAATTGAGCCTCTAATTTATCTAATTGTTTATGGAGGAATTTGCGTTGGCTGGTTAGTTTATAGATTTGAGTATTTAAGAAGCGAATATACTCTTTTTTGCGGGTAATTTCTTCGGGAGTAGGTTTAGTCATAAGAATTTTTATTTAATCCTTATCTTCCAATCATTCTAAAACTTTATTTTCAATCTCTTCCCTACGAGGATGTTCGAAATAATTTAGTTTTCCATGGGAAGTTAATAGAGATTTTGCTTGGTCATAGGCTATGCGGATATAAGGTTTTCATCCCCTTTCGCTTTTGTCCTTTTCCTTTAAACTTTCGATAAAATCTTCTTCTGTTTTTCTGGCCTTTTCAAAAAATCCAATCAATTTATTGCTTAAATCTTTATCAATTACATCAACTCCTCTAAAAAAAGTAATGTCGCTTTTCTCACCACAAGCAACAAAAATATAAAGTCCATTTTTTCTAGGCAGATGAGAATTTCATACTGGCCTTGCCACTTTGGAAGATTTCAATTCAACAGGAATAATATATTTCGAAGTAAAAACTAAGAAGTCGGGGTAGTTTTGAGAGCCGTAGGGAGAATAGACAAAGCCATTAGTAACAGAGGGAGAAAAATTATTAGTAATTAGTTCATTATTTTCTTTTTTCTGAACCTCTTTTTTTAATTTTTCTCATTGTTTTTTTTCTTTATTAATTAACTCCTCTTTATCTAAGCGAGTAAATTCTATTCTTTTTAGTTCTTTAACAAAATTTTCTTCTAACTGTTTTCCGGCCTTTTTCTCATTTTTTTCACTAATTTTTCATCAACTACCCTTGCCTTCACGAATAGAAATAAATATCTTTTTTAGCATATACCATTATAAGCAATTACAATATCATGCTTACCAAAACCCGGAATAATAGTGTTTTTTTGGGCTAATTTAGCAAAATCTAATTGTAATAGTTTTTGTTTGGCTAGTTTATTTTTGCTTTTGAAGAAAATATATTGACGATTTTTGAATAACTTGCTTTCTTCAACTATTTTTTCTGTATAGTCGTAAAATCCTTGCCGGACTACTGCGAAATCTCAATTGTATTTGTCTTTTTGGAAGTATTTCAAAGTTGGTTGAGTATTATTATGTAAATACATTTCAAAATCAGGGTGTTTAGTAATTGGTTTTTCTTTAATTCTTAAATCAGGATAATTACTCTTTCTTTTAGTTCAAATTTGAAAGCAAGTATTAAGAGTATAAATTTTATTGTCAACCAAAAAAGAATTCGGCTCTAAATTAATATCGTAAATAAGTTGCAAGTCTTTATTTAATTTAGATTGGACGCTTCAACGACGAAAGGTTAGGGGGAGAATGAAGCCAATTGTCTCGCTGATTTCGGATGATTTGTTGATAAAATCCAAGGCCAATTTTCCCTTTTTACCAAAAGGGGGATTGCCAATTACTACATAATTGTTTTGTTTGGTATGTGATAAGTATTTTTTTCAGTCTAGTGTAAGAAAGTCAGTCTTGACAATATTTTCCTTTTCTGATTTTGGTTCAATGTCAAAGGCTAATGTTTTTTTACTGATGAATGAGTTGCTTTTGCTGATTTCTCGAATGGCTTCTAAGAAATTTCCAGTTCCAGCGGAGGGTTCAAGAAAGTTTATTTTTTGATAGTCTAATTTTTTTAATTGTTCAGTAAAAATACTGGTTAGTTTTTTAGCAGTTAAAGGGTTAGTGTAGAATTGGTCTAACTCTGTTTTATTATTTAGCAAGCCATTATCCTTATCCATATTTACTAATTTTAAGTTTTGTGGGTGGTGATTGAATTATTTGGGATTGGGTTTCTGGCTCTAAGTGTTGCCTCATTTCCCGTAATTGCTGCTCGGCATTGTCGGCTCGTTGTTTTTCTTGTTGGAGTAATTGTTTTAAGTTATCGCGTTCAGTTGTCGTTTGATTTAATTGTTCCTCTAATTGTTTGATTTTTTGGAGTAAAATTAATTCTCTTTTAGTAGGTTTTTGCTCTTTATTAGCGGTTAGTGGTAA